TTCCATACCTTGAGCCCACTTCCCTCACTTCCATACCTTGAGCCCACTTCCCTCACTTCCATACCTTGAGCCCACTTCCCTCACTTCCATACCTTGAGTCTACTTCCCTCACTTCCATACCTTGAGCCCACTTCCCTCACTTCCATACCTTGAGCCCACTTCCCTCACTTCCATAAAGCACCCAAAGTTAAGACATTGGCAGCAGCACCTTGCAGCCAAGTTCTGCTGTTTTCTTCAGGAGAGAGATCAGGATGTTCTGTCTAAAGGCAAGAGTTCCCAAAATCTTGATGTGCTTCTTTCCAGCCCCTCAGGACATAACAGCCTTCAAAGCTGTTTTTAACCAGAAACACCCACAGCTTGGCAGCATCCTCAGGACACATCCAGAGAGGCCTTGGACTTCTCTTGGTGCTCCCAACTTGCCTTCAAAAGCAGGGGCCTGTCACCCCCTCAGACTGGTCACCAAAAGGGGGAACAAGTGGATTTACAGGCATGGACACACCCATGACATTAATCCTGTTCAAACCTCTTGAAGATCCACCCAACACACCCAGGGTTGTGGATGGAGGACGGAGCAAGCACAAGTTACAGCTGTGCAGGAAGGAAAGGAAAACCCAGGCGTGCCTGGAAAGCACTTGGAGCCGCTGCCAAAGCAGCGCTGAGTTGGCCAAGGAACAGCACTTGAGTTAATCAACTCCTCACTCCAGGCCTCTCCAGAGACCTCAGCCAACCTCTGGCATGTGAGAAGGCTCCCAGAAGGACTTAAGGCTGTGCCAAGGCTGAGGAAGAACCCCAGTGGCAGCCCAGCAGGGAGGCAGCTCCCCCGGGGCTCACCTTGATGGCTCTCCTGACGATCATGATGGCATCGTGCAGGGACCGCTCCGTCTCCTCCATGAACTGCTCCGCTCCCCCGCGCAGGATGATCGTGCAGGTCTTGGCCTTGGGGCAGCCCGTGAAGAAGTTGTACCTGCCAAAGGCACGGGGCAAGAAGGGTTATGGGGATGGAGAAGTGGTGCTGCTGCTGGAAAGGATCCACACCAGCACTCAGGGATTCCGGACGGGCCGGATCCGTGACTGAAGCCGTGTCACCCTCACGGCGCCCCATCGGATCTTGGGCTTAGAAGGAGCAGAGCCAGGCAACACACAAGGAAAATCTGGGAAAATCCACTCTCTTCCTGTTGCCAGGGATTTGCTAAACTGGTGCTCCGATTTTCACTTGGCAGGAGTCAGCAGCCAGCTCCAAACAGGAATTCTCCTCCAGCAACAGGAAGGACCCCAGTGTACTGTCCCCAACTTCACCTGCACTGAAGCGAAGTGTCACTATGGAACATCAGATAAATGCCACAATCAACCCCAAAATGTGCTGTTTTTCCATTAGAAATGAAGCAATACCACTGTGCTTTCTACATGACACTGCAGAATAAATATGTGTATTTTAAATGCATATATAAGGGGTAAGATTAGAGGAAATTTCAGCCTCAAAAAGCAGCTTTTGTATACAATAAAAGAATTGGTTTTTAACAACCTTCTTTTCACATGGACCCCTTGAAAGATGCTCCAACCTGCCAGTGCTTTAACCCAAATTCTTCCAACTGCTATTAGAGGGCTGGCAAGGTACTCCAGGTTTACAGCTGGTGTATTTACCTCTCTCCCCCAATCTGAGTCTCCTCAAAGAGTTCACACCGGCCCAGAACATCATCTGTCAGGGCACTGACACTGGTCTGGATGGATCCACCACAGGCCTGCGTGGAACGGAGATAAAGCAAGGAATTACCAACACTGACAACCCAAATTGATTTCCCAGCAGGGTCTCATTCTTTAGGGACAGCCCAGCTGTTTAGCTGATGCAAATCCATCCCGCAGGCCAGATTCAGGAAAACCCCTTAATTTCCCTGCCATCTCAAAATCCTCGACAGCAAAATAAGATTATGCGGCTTCGAAGCGCTGACTCACGGGCTCCGGAGTCCAGGAAACACACAAAGCTCAGGGAAAAAAAAACCAAACTACTCATGATGGAACAGCCAAGAACTAGGGAAAATAAAGCTGTACTGATGCAATGAGCAGACCTTAATCAGAGAAACAAAAGAGCAGTGCAGATGCAATTAGTGCGTGACTGTTCATTCCGTCAAGAACAGCCCTGTCTGTCTACACCAAGTTTAAATAACAACCACACGGGCAAAAATGAAGTGATTATCATTTTAAATGTTTGCAAGGAACAGCGTGTTCAGGCACAGCCTGCTGCCCTGCTTTGGGAATCCCCAGCCTGGCAGTGTTGAAGTGAAACCAAGGAGCTCACCATCATGGTCCGCTTGAGATCCTCCTCCGGCACGCGGCCGGCACAGAACATGTCCCTGTCGGCGAAGTACTGCGTGGCCACGTCCCCGATGGGAAGTTTGGACAGGACAACTTTGGCTCCTGACTTGTGGATTTTGTCTAGTTTGTCATACAGGATGTTCCACTCGGCGTCCACGATGGCCTGGTAATCCTGGCAGGGAGGAGAGAGGGACAATCCCGTTACGAGGGATTGGGAATGTTGCTCTTGCAGCCCTGGGACACGGCTGCTTTCAACACCCGGGGGATTTTAGGCCCCTCTATATTATGCCCAAATGGGGACCTTGGTTTAAATTTGAGGAGGCTCTTTCAGCATTACAGAATCACAGAATCAAGCAGGTTGGAAAAGACCTGAGACAACTTGAGTCCAACCTGTGACCCAACCCCACCTTGTCCCCCAGCCCATGGCACTGATGCCACATCCAGTCTGTCCTTAAACACCTCCAGGGAAGTGACTCCACCACCTCCCTGGGCAGCCCATTCCAGTGTCTGATCACTCTCTCTGTAAAAACCTTCTTCCTAATGTCCAACCTGAACCTCCCCTGGCACAGTTGGAGGCTGTGCCCTCTTGTCCTACTGCTGATTCCTGGGAGCAGAGCCCGACCCCCC